CACGGACCGGCGCGCGCACTCGGTGCTGTGTTGAACGGCCGCGGAATCGGCGTCGCCCGCTGTACCTCGACGACCTTATCAAACGACACGACGAGCAGATCGAGCTCGTCGCGCGCGGCTTGGCGCTTGATGCCATGGAGCACGGATGGGTCGCAGACGTAGCGCAGCCGGCCAAAGTGCTTGGGGTTCACAGCATCCGGTGCGTGGAGCTGCGCGAGTTTTTTCGAGATGCGCATTGGTAAGCAGTCGAGCTTGTGGGCCAAGAAGACGCGGAGCGACGTGCCGGGAAGGACAGTGGGGTAGTAGCCCAAAAGAAAGCTCTGGATAAGCGCGACGGCGTACGCCTCTTCCTCGGTCGACCACGACCCACACCGGTGCGCAAGCAAGATCGTTGGCGTCATGAATTCGAAAGTGCACCACGAGGTTCTTGCCACAACGGGTTCTGAGTTTACTCTGCGAGATGCGTGATTGGCACAGTCGCGTCGGAACAGTCGCTCGTCCAACGGCGGGTTGCATCAGCACGCGCATGATCGCACGGTCGACACCGATACAGCATGATCACCCGACAACGAATATGCCTCACCAAGTTTCGCAGTGTTGCCAACGACCAGCTCGCAAGTGCACTACCATAGAAAGTGCAATGTGTAGATCCCACCGCGGTCTTCCGGCCCTCGCCGTCCAAAGAGACGAGTAGTAAGGATTTTTGCATGTACCGTGGGGCTCATTGGTAGAACGCTAAACACGGAACAAACGCGCTAATGTAACATGTCTATTGAGCTATTACAGCAACCTCTTACAGCGACGGGTGCATGGAACGGCTGGATAGAAAGTACGTCGGCGACGGCGACACCATCTTGAGCTGCTTGAGCAGCATGCGATGCTCGCGCGGAATGAACAAGGCCGAGCCAATGCGCTTGGGCAGCTTGCGCCCCGCAAGCTCGGTCGTCGCGAGCTTCTTGGAGATGCGCATCGGGCTGCAGTGGAGCTCCGCCGCTAGGAACGACCGAAGCGTCGTGCCCCGCGCCAGCGGCAAGTCGCCGCGCACAAACGATAAAATCAAGTTGTACGCGCGGGCTTGCTCTTGGGGCAGCCACATGCCGACGCGGAGCGACGCGGGCGACGGCGGTGGCCGGTCGTCGTCGACCACATCTGGTGACGTCTGTGTCTGGTCAAAGATGCGCTGGAGGTACTGGATGTGGTGCAGCATCGTCGCCGCGGCCTCGGGCGATAGCGTGCGATTCAGCGTATAGCGCTGCTTGCCGACCTTTTGTGGCAAATGGACGTGCTTCGACAGGCTGTAGAACGCGAGCCGCTTCGAGACGCGCATTGGCGAGCAGCGCAGTCGCTTGGCGAGGAAGCACCGGAGCGACGTGCCGGGCGAGACCGCGCCCGCAAAGCAGCCGGCGAGGAAGCCATCAATGAGCGCGAGCGCGTAGCTGTCTTCGACGTCGGTCCACATGCCCCGGCGCAAGTCGCACGGCGGCACGGGGTGGCATAGAAGGCGTGCAATCTCCATCGTGCTACTACTACTGCCGTCTTGGGAAATGAACTTGTGGCAGCCGTCGACCGCGTGGCGCCAGTTGCAGATGAGATGCACCGCGATCTTGCGACACCGATCTCTGAACCGTCCAAAAGAAAGGCCACGACCCCAACGGCGTCAGCCCGTTGAAGTCACGCACTAGCGGTCCCACCACGTTCTGCCCCTGGCATCTGCAACACGAGATACATATAATTGCAGTTGGCGCTGCGGTCGCTCAGGTCGAGGCCGCCGTGGGCCAAAAAACCAGCTGCCGTGCCTCTTCCTTTCGACATTTTCAGAGCGCGTGGCGCCGGGCAAACTTGCTGGAAGCCCATGCGTCAGCTGCGTGCCCTTCGATAGAAGGTGGCGACATTCCGTTGGCATCGCTATCGCTGGTTTTGAGGGTTATAACGCTACGTTGAAGGGCAAACTGGTGTTAGATACGCTGTTAGATCGATGGCAACCCTTGCCCTGGCACTGCCACGACGCCGCGTCATCAATCCCCGACGCCCGCGCTGGCCACGACCGTTCGATGGACAGTGCTACTAGGTCCAAGGCGGAGACGACAGCGGCGCCAAGTGCCACGCATCGTTGCCGGTTTCTGAACACTTTTTGTGGCACATGATGAGATAAAGATTTTAGATTGACCGAATAAATAAGACAGACAGAGTGCGCTCAGACTT